CGCTTGACGAATAACGGCGGAGCCCTTCATCGTCGCTGCAAATTATCAATTTATTTAATCATTCGACGCGTCACGGGAAACGACAGCAGATAAAAGCGTTGACAACGTTCCGGAGACAAAGTGTACGAAGACGACCTCTCGGAAACGAGGGTTTCGCTCATTGTTCGCGACCGATCATTAACCGTGGAACCATCTGTCCGAGTAATCGATGATTTTGTTGCTCCCGGCGGGAAGTTCGCCGCGAAAGTTTACGAGTCCCTTGCGGTAGCGTTTCTTCGTAGGAAAGCCAAACTTCAATTTGATTCTTCGAGATTGACGCAGGTTCGATATTATAGAAAGACGTGCGGTCTAGATGAAGAGTGGTCCGGGGTGCGGGGGTGGAAAGAGATCGATGGGAAAAGTGACGAGTTCATTTTGGAAATAAGAAAAGTTTCAGCCAGACATTAGTTCCGGATAGTGTCAGATGGCGGATTTCATTATCATGAAATTTTTATGCCCTCTCATTAGAATTACCTTCCCCGTGGCAACTTTCGGTGCCGCGATATTGAACGGATTTTTAATTTGCATTTTACTATATATCACTTCGTACGAATGTGGACTTTTAGTTAACTTGCCCCAATCGTGACGAAAATGAAGATTCAGATTGAACATTCTCGGTTAAATTCTATGTGCTATATTTTTATGCACTTACCGGTTCTGCGTTAATGAATTCTGTGACAATGCTTTCATACGTGTTTGTTTCATTTTTAACAAGTAGAACCGTTCATATTCTTGGAACGAGTAAAAGCATTCACAGTATTTGGTAACTTATAATTTATATTTCATTGCAAAGAGATACATATGTTAGAATTTTTTATTGGAATGCATTTAAACCTTTGGTTACTGTTGGCGTCTAATGGCGTTTTAAAAATTTGGTTTCGATTATTGTTGTTCGCAATAATTGTACCAAAGCTAGCTTAGATCAGACGTAAGTGAGTTCTAATTCAAGAATTCATCTTGTGTTAGTCATATATTATATAAATGTGGTTATTTTATATTGGTTTAATTTACTTCAATTCAGTGTTTTAATAGTTTCAGTCAGGAATTGAAAACAGTTGGAATATCGGTTTCGGTTTTCGAAACAGTTATGAAGAACTAAAATAAGTTATAACTGTTATTCGGTGTATCGGTTCTAAACTACATCGATTTCGGTTCTGAAACAGTTCTATAACTGTTATTTTTCGGTTCTTGAAATAATTATGAAGAACCGAAATGAAGAACCAAAGAATAACAATTATAGAACCGTTTCAGAACCGATATTATGTCGGTTAGAGCTTTAATAGGAAGAGTCAGAACCGAAACCGACATACCTCAACCGATATACCAAATAACAGGTATGACTTATTTCGGTTCTCTATAACTGTTTCAGTCGGAACCAATATGTAACAGTTTCAAACAGTTATTTCCGAAATCGTTTCAATCTCTGGTTTCCATACACATTCTTAGAAATGCGAGCTAACGCAAAATTTTACCGTAGCCAAGTGTTTAACACTTTACGTACTTTAACCCTTGTCCAATTATATTAAATAACCATTAGGTAACCCACTATATTAAATAATAATAAAACACGAGAAAGATAATCCAATAATCTTATTAACACTAATATTCATAAAACTATTTAACAGGCTCCTTCGTTAAACGCCGACATAAGGTGATCTTTTTTACCCTTTTTCAAAAAAGACTATTATTGCAACTACCACACTTTAGACCGCATTGGCAATTGTCACCTCATTAGGACATATGCTACGGTTGCCAAGGAAGCGAAGATTGCCGTCAAAACTTCGTCACGTGCCTTTTCGTAGTTACTTTCTAAGAGTTACTTCTCTTTTCAAAAAGTTGAAAACGCAGGTAGCTGCCTTTCGGCTTTGCGCGTTACCGTAATTATACTTGAGTGAAAATGGGATTCGGGTACATTGTATTATTTTCTGAGCCTGCGTGTATTTATTACGTCACCACTTCATAATTTTATTACAAACATTTATTTATAAAGAATAAATGAGCATAGAGTCATACTGCTGCATAGCATATTCGATACTTTAAAACTAGTTATTTAATCCGTTTGCATCAGTAACGCATGCGTGAGTTCAATTTTACTGATCAGCATTACCACAGTGCATATAATTACGCATTTACATTGCGAATGAACAGTGGTAACCGCAAACAGATTCAATTATTTGTCAAGGGAAAGTAATGCAAACTATTTGATAAAGATGTACATATGAATTTTTTCCTTCATTTATATAGTTTACTAATTACTTCTTGGCATATTGTTGTATGTAAAATTTATGACACAAATGTGGTTGTATGGGTACATTCTTCATTTTATCGTATGATGCAAATGGGTTAAGCAAGACAAAACATTAATCATATGGGTTACAAATTTCAATCATTTCTAAAACAAAAAGTGTTCTTCTGTAGAACAGTTGTTGTTTGATAATATTTGATTATGTTTTTCCCCACCTATATTCATAACAACAAAACTTTTAATGTAAGTTATAAGTTACTTTGCTCTAACCAATTTATTTAGTAGTGATAACGTTTTAATTTAATGGATTATTCAACGGAAATTATTATTTGTATAAATATTCATAATTGGAAATATGTTAGTTTATTGATGGACAAATGAAATATTTCTGATTTAATTTAACCAGTTAATTGTGGAATTTAGTTGGGAAAACCTCTCATTCTGCGCTCAATAAAATAAAAAATGGAGCGTGTACGCATCGAATGCAGGACGAATGCACGTAGAGTATATTTTAATGAAAGATCAAAGAGAAACAAAGAAGAATTACATGTTTATGTGAAAAAATAAAGAATTCATCCCTGAAAGAATTAGTATCATGTCAAGCTTTACGATGACGCGATACTTGTCAAACACAGTTAACTGGTTAATTCTGGTTCTCCTGTATGCGTTTCTATATATTGTGCATTCGAATGAAGATTGCGACAAATGGTAGTGACGGTATTCCAATTAGCAAACTATGGATGGTTCTAATAAGCGCTTTAAAATTGAATATTTAACGTCTCACAGTACACACTCTCAGAAAAAAATATAATAATAATATTTTGATTGCTATGTATCCACGTTAATGAGTTCGGTTTAAAAGTAGGTATTTAATTGAAATATGTCTGCAAAATTATAAAACGAAAACTCGTTAAATATAACAGAATGTTTCATGTTAAATACTCTTCTGTAAACTATCGAACTAAACATGTCTGACAATTTCTGTTCTCAAATTTATGTAACACACTCCTCTCAGTTTTACTCACTCTATAAATTAATACAGTAAAATTGCAAATTTTGATATTTATACTGTATCTAATTTTACTTTAAATAGATAAGATTCTGAAAAAAATATTAACACTTATATATTGTTGCTGTTGTTATCTTTAAAATGGATAAATCATTAAATCATGGCAGTTTGTTACTATTATAAATTGTATTCACAACCACTTTATGTAAAAAAATACTTAGATATGTATTACGTAATACGAATGTGATTAATATATCAGAATTTTTCACAGATAACACGTTAAACCCAAAATTAATTTTTTTTTACTTTCTCTTTAAGTGACTCGCAAACACAAAAACTGCGTCCGTACAAAAACAAAAAACAAAAAAGTGGGTAAGAGGCGACTCATCAAGTTGACTAATTAAGAAATGCTATGTAAGCAATTTAAAAGAAGACAGCAGGAAAATATCTAAAAACTCATAAATTTTTGTAATACTTTTAAAAGAAAAACTCAGTTTTATTTAAATTATTTCAATAGAAATCATTTAAAACGTGTTCATATATTTTATACTATTATATGAATTAAAAACTATGTTAATAATTTTTTAAATTTGATAATGTCAATCCTCGGGGCTAACAAATGCAGCGTTTAACTTGCTTTTGCTACTACGTAAAATGAATTTTAATGTTAGTAATAATCAGTAATGATTGGGTTCTTTAATCGTTGAAAGTGTCAACTATATAAAAACAAAGTGCTTAAGCTGGGTTTGAAATAAGAAGGTTCATTTAATTCGAAGTATTTACGAAAGTGTATGTATAAATATATGACTACAATAGACACGAATGCGTGTAATTTGTTGAAAAGTATCAGTCTGAAGGTTAATAAAATAAACAAAATAAACAAAATAAACAAAATAAACAAAATAAACAAAATAAACAAAATAAACAAAATAAATAAATAAAATCGAGAAAATTTACTCGTGTGTTAAAGTGTGACTAAATCAATGTATAAGGTTTTTGTTCCTTTTTCATATTTTACTTATCATTTAATTTTAAACATATTTTTATTTTATTATTAAATGCAATTAGTTTTTTGTCACCTTGAATCCTTTAACAATTATTGACTTCACAATTGTGTGAAGTAAAAGCTACATAACTTAACAATTAATAACTATTATTAGTCACTTTTATACTTGCTACGAAGAAAATAAATGTATTAAACATAACAAGATTTTGTTATCGTTCTGAATTTTATAATTATTTTTTAATGTATTCTTAAGAAAACTTAGTAATATTTCAATTATATATGACAAAATCGTCGTTAGTTTCGATATAATTACAATACTAATACGTTACAATTTGTTTGTTCCCAGATTTTGTTTTCATTCATTTATTCGATTATTTTAAATTTTTATTTAAAAGCAATTTTATATTTCAAATATCTATAAAGGTATAATTATGAAGATATCAATTTTTATCAAATTTAATTTTCAATGATAATTATTACTATTATTCGCATCTTACATTACGGCTGAGCGCCGCGAGTGGACGTCTCCCCTTGACCCTGTGCACTTTTAGTAGCTGGACAATGTAGCAAAATTAAACTAACTATTAAATTTCATGCGATCTTTATATACATATTATATTTTACACAATGCAATATATACATACATGTATATGAGTATTGAATGCTTATCTTAGAAAATCACATTAATCTGTTTGTTATAGGTTGCTCATGCGTTGTCTACAGCAGCTCAGACAGACCTCAAGGTGGCACATTTACATCCCCTTACTACCCCAAACGATATCCGTCGAACATCGATTGTCTGCTCTATACGTTCGTCGGCCAACCTGACGAAATCGTCGAACTATCATTTCATCAGTTTCACATTCGCCGTGCACAACCTAAGTGAGTACTGCCATCTAAATTGTTTGTTTAAATATATGATCCCTTTCTTTGTGGAATATAACATACCTCCAAATGGTTAAATCTAGAATAAATTTATTTCTAAAAATCTAACAAAGGAATATTTATTAAGCTTACTGTCCGTAAACTATTTTACTGACTTAATTTACATATCAATGGAATCCTAGTGACATGATAAAAAGTTTTGTTTTGTCTCTGTTCGAAAACTTTTGTAGGTAAGTAAACTGAATACAGTTTTCGTATTTGTTACCACTTCACCATGTTAATTTCTTCTTTCTTTCGTTATTAATGCATTGATTTGCAACTTAATTACCTACAAGATTTTTCTTTAATAGTAGGTACTTCATTTTTTTCTATTAGTTAGTTTACTTTATAACAGTACAGTGTAGTAGAAGATATAATTTATTGGACTAAATTTATTGTCCAATTTTGTAATAGCCAAAACTTGCAATGATAAAATGCTTCTTGGTGATTCTGTATAATTGTATTACATGTATCACGATAATTTGAAGAATATGCTTCAAGTTTCGTATACCGAATTAACTTGCCGTAAACGAATTTTTCAGTACAGGATTGAATATTCATCTAATAGGATTATTTCAAATACCTATCCCTGAAATTCGATGTGAAAAAGACACCTATGTTTTTGAACAAGTTAACTCTAGATGTGTGTTATTGATTAAAAGTTAAAATAGAGGAAACAACAGAACAGTTTTCAATGAAACATTTATTTACTTAAATTATTTTGAGCAACTCTCGGTGGAAATATCGTGTTATACCGAGGGTTTCCCCAATTCTCTAACCACATTATGGCGAAACTCTGTTGTAGGAATGTTGAATTATACGAAAGTTGTCTATATTATTTTTCTAAAGATTAAATACATTATGATAATAGCTTCTATTTTTAATCATATTCATGTCTTGTTTTATTAATACAATGAAATACTTTCAACGAGACGTTTATTAAATATAGAGGCACATTTTCTCCTGCGAAATTACAGCAGAGACTCTCGTATCTGAATTAACAGAGAAACAAATGTTTTCAGACAAAACGATTTTTGAATAATAAAATAATAGCTTTCCTAATGATACATTTTATTTATCTTAGTAGCGGTTCTACAAGTTGTCAGCTTTTTTAAACATTAACTATCCACAAAATCATATAACTTATTTAATAAATATGGAATTTCGTACTAAATTATTTTGATTAGAATTCCTGAAAAAAGATTGTATAATATGTTTTAATGTTATGAATGACAGTATATATTTTGTAAATCTTTTGATGAAGACAGAATGTAGATACAAATTGATGCATTTTAATCCGTTGCATTATAATGACAAGTGAAACTCACGATGAAAATTTTTAGATTAATTTAATTAAAACCGATATTATTCATTATTCACAAATACAAAGCGAAAAAGCTATTCTGCTATTACCAATTTATTTTCTTCAGAGTAAATATGCATTTATAGTGAAATGGATAATTTGCGTTTCTTCCAAATTGTCAATAGTAAAAGGTTACGCGAATTTAGTGGCACAAGTAAATAATACGACAAAAGGTCGATATATTGTTGAAAGATTTTAATGACTGTTCCATTGACAAGGTTCACGGGTTAATAGTAACTGATGGCAAACCTTGGTAAAGGAGGTAGGAGGATCAGAAGCCACGTAGTTCACGATAAATCAACATTACGTTGGTTACGTCAAGGTATGATACAGGTAGTCTAATACACATACCAGCAGACCACATTGGCAAATCTCAAAACAATCAGAGAATTGTTTACAACCATTTCCAATACCTGCTAGCTATTCTGAATTCCCTCATAATTTCGAATTACTTACTTAGAATTGTTTGCAATCAATATAATTCTATAATTTGCATATAATTAAATATCAAACTGAGTAACGACTGCTTACAGTTAATCCTTTGTGGTGGAGGACTTTTCAAACCTTTAAAAACTTGACGCTTGAAAACTTGAATTTTATATCGAAATTTTAACACTAAAACTACCAGAACAGTCAAAATGATCCATTCCTAGTTTCTTCTTGGAGTTTCAGTAGATGTATTCTTGGAGTTTCTATAGAGGAATTTTAAAAAGTCAATTTAATTGCTCGGTAGTTTTAGTGTTAAATATCAGTAAAAAGAAAAACCACGTATCAATCTCATATTATGTAAATAATTTATTTATTTGCAGCTTTCGATTTTAGACATGAAAGCTCGAAGACATTACGACGACATTTGACTGTAAAAGGTTAAAATCTTTCTCATATACACTTATCCCAGAGTAAAACTATTGGTTTACTATGTTCAAACCAAACATTACTCATAACAAAACGTGCTTTTAAAATATGAGTGTTCTATTTTTTTAATAGACAAATCAAGTATTATACGACATTTCCAGAATTTATAGTCTGTTTTTTTGAAGCTTTTTTGTACCTGTATTTACGATTCGTTTTGATAAATAGAACATATCAGTGATCTTTATTTTTCTTGATATTTTCGGATTGTGACATTTAAATCGTTACGGCCGACACAGCGCAGTGTGCTGCCAAACGGCCGTTTTCTAGACAAAACTCAATAACTTTAAAAGTATAAGTGATACAAACAATGCTTCAGACAAAAGTTGTAAGATATAGAGCTTAACATATGGTGGTTATATTTTTTTTTACAGTATGAGGATATTATGAAGTTTTTTGAATGACAATGGATATTTTACGCTTCAATTCAAACATTATATAAACAGAGAAACGTAATTTATTTGCACAAAATTGTTATTTTTGAAATGATAATCATTGTGTATAGCACAGACTAATTAGCAACGCATTGGTAACCTTTAATTTTCGTTATCTGAATAGTCGAACTCTGGTGGTTTGTCCACAGGCGACCGCACTATGCGCAAGTATATCATATTATCTATTCGAAGCAGAACAGTATTAACACGAAGCGCAGAGTAATGATGTCGTTAATGATGTATATGATCGATGTCCAGGTTCTTGCTTATATAGGGTTTCTTATCTCTCGTCCTTAGAAGCTTCTTGATAAGTTCTTGTTTGTGTACGTCGCTTAAAATAGACTTTTGATGGTGTTCTATAAAACTTTATGGCATTCCGTGGTTGTGTGTTCTTATTCAATCTGATGCAACTTAATGTAAGTTCTTATTTGTCACTCGGTTACGTGTTATGGCGCAATCTTAGGTAATTAAAGGTAATACCATGGAGAGGTCGAGAGTAATAAAATAAATATTTGGTTTTCTAGGATAAGTACTGAACTGAAAATACATTGACGTTTTTAATGTTAATTTTAATATAATGTAATTAAAATTATTGATTTATCAATTATGAGAGTCATAATTCTCTAACAGTTTTAGTCTGCATACATTTTTAAAATATTTCATCGTATTACCACTAATAAGCTGTATTATAACAAGAATTTAAAACGTGGAATGCACGATTTTACATAGAAAAATACAGAAACTGAAAAAAAATATAATATCAAATTACTTCATCGAATCGTTTTATTTTTATTGCACCTTTACTTTACCGAATGTCAGAGCATTAGGTGAGATTCTTTATAATATAAAAATGTTTGTAAATAATCATCGTTTAGTTGGCTGAATTATAGTAACCCGATTTGGTCGAGGGTCGCCGGTGACCCTCACGGTATTCAACGTGTTAATCTTTATTCTGTATCAAATTTCGATGTAATTGTTAACTAAGTATGTTTAGAATGTTATGGTGAACATTCTAGTAACGCGTTTTTCTCATACGTAAATATAATTTGATAATACATATTATCTCGACGTGCATGAACTAATGCAATACGTTTTATTTGCCGAAAAGTTCTGCTTATTTCCTAACGTACAATGATTTTGTTGTGGTCGAAACTCTGTGGCGTAATTGCTTTAGTAAGTACTTACTCCACAACTTTATACGCTGAATTAACGTTTTCTGAAAATTTAAGATGAATGAGATCTATCAACAGTTCGTGTATTTACAACCTGTTATACAGTTGCTACAAATAATTAAGTTTTCACAAAGAGGAATCTAAATTTGCATTATTAATTAAAATTTAAGGGAAGTGTTACTTCGTTAAAGGGAATGTGAACCTTTAAGGATACAGTTTCAAAGGCATATCGTGTGGGGGCACCTTTATAAAACTGAAGCAGTGAATTCCAAAACAGCACAAGTTCACTTTTTAGCGTTATCTATATAAGTTATTGATGTAACTGTTTTCAGTCACACACAAGGGAAATGATCAAACCTGGAAATTCAAAAAATTATGAAACTTTGTATGTAGTAGGGTAAGTCAAGTTATTATAGTGTATTAGGTTTGACTTACTCTACTTACACACAAAGTTTCATAATTTTTTGAATTTCCGGGCGTGATAGTTTCTCTTGTAAGTTGCTGGAATTTTGCATAAAACGAAAATCATTGTAAATAATTAATTTAAAGAAATATACCATATTTTGTAATGTAAATATAAGTAAAGTGTCAGCTATGTTAAAAAATTACATCTGGTATATAACGATAGCAAATAAACACATAATTGATATTACATGGCAATTTTTTTCATGTCGAATTTCACTTTGAAGGGGTAAAACCACCCTTGAAAAGAATACAAATTTTTCTTGCTAAATTTTATTTTATAACGTTATAGACATAAAAGAATAACGTATTTCTTGTTTAAATTGTTTTATGTGTACTTTCAAATTCTTTAAATAATGCACTCGCTCCGAAGCTCATTGGAAAAATTAATTTCGGCGGAACGAGTTTGAAAGAGTGTTAGAAAAACACGATAGACGTGACAGCGTAATTTGTTTGTATTTATTAGCGATTTTTGGTTCACTGCTGAACCGTGGCATCGCGCTCGACTGTCGGAGGCAAAGTGAGTCAGGGTTTTGCAAATTGGAAAACAGAGTCCCTGGTTGGGGTGTACAATTTTGTATTGGGGATGGTGAGTTTAATAGATGTGGAAACGGT